TCTGAAAGTACTTTTCCCCCCCATTGCCTTTACAGCCCAAGAAACTAGGGAGGGTCCCTTCTGAGATGTTTGCCATGCCCACATTCCTTCTGTGGGCTCAGCTGCCTCTTATCCAACCATTGCCTAGTCTGCAGCTCTTCCCCCTGTCTCCCAAGGTCATTCCCACATACCATTACATCTTGGTTCATACTTCAGCATGCTGGGTGAGCCCGGACAGGGTGATTCCACTAACTAGGGGTGTTTGTCATGCAAACACAGGCAATTCCCATTTTATTCTAGCATGTGTGAACCTAGTTTAGGTGGAGCTTTGCTTTGGTCCAGTCTGGCTCTTCTCCTGTCATGCAAACTATCTTTATTCTGACGCAGGACCTAGCAAAGAAGAGGGGCCAGCGGATGCTCCGCCCAGCCCCCCATCAAGGGAGCAGCCCTTCCTGAGTGAGAAGCTGAAACGGGTTCGTACCTTGGAGGACCTGGAGGAGGACCTGGAGCCAGAGGCTATTCCACAGGAAGATGAAATGCTGCAACCCAAAGAGGCCCAGCCCTCCCAGTCGGTGGGAGCCGAGCCCCCGCTGCAGCCCCAGGCCGGCAAGTCCAAGAAGTCAGCCAAGCACCAGGCTCTGATTGATCTTGAGACAGTCCTTGCGGGGGCACCATATCCCACACAGTGCCCGCTGGTGCCTGCTGTTGTGCAGGATGAGGTGAGCACCAGTGGGGAAGGAGGTCAATCTATTCAGGTAGAGAGCAGGAAGAAGACATGCCTGCTTGGTAGATTGATTTCCTGATGTGCTTAATGCTCTTTCCTACATTTATCTCAACAAAAGTCCTGTAGGGCGGGGTTCCCCAACCCAAGCCACTTTAAGATGGATGGACTTGAACTCCCAGAATTCCCCAGCCAGCCATGTTGGTGAGCCATGTTAAAGTGGCTGAGGTTGAGGAACCCTGCTGTAGGGTAGGCTGCGCTGAGAGAGGGGACTGGCCCAAAGTCACCCAGTGACTTTTCATGGCAGACTGTAGACCTGCCACTTCAGCAACCATATCTTTACACCAAATTGCTGGGGGCTACAAAACAGTTTTTGGGTGGTCAGGGGCTGCAGTAAAGTTGGTCAGAACAAGATATTTTGCATAAGAGTTCTTTGTTGTTTTGGGAGACCACCGCTGCTCTTTCTTCTCCTTTTTCATTTTGTGTTAAGCCTGTTTTATATCCTTGTCCTACAATCTTGGATCGTTTCTCCCCTCGCACTGGCCAAAACCTGTGCCACCAGTTTTCAGCAGCTCCAGTCAGAGGTGGCTTTGAGGGCTGTGAAAAGAGGTCTGAGGACATCCTGTTCTCTTGGGGCCATAGGATGCCCATCCCTCTTGCACATTTCACTAGTTTTCGTTTACGTCTCCTTCCCGTTTAGAGAAAACAACTCTTAATTGAGGAAAGGAGCATGGGACGGAGAACGCTGCGTTATGCTCTCCAAAACGTTCATTTCGTTACAGGGGAGACATTGTCCCCAATCACCATATGTTACTGAAGAAGGCAGTGGTAGTTCATGTGCTTTAGACAGAGAGGATCTTCCTAAATCTGTTCCTTGTTTTAACTCCAGTCAAAAATGGATCTGAATAATAGAGAAGGAAGAACTTCTGCCTGAGTCTTTAGAGCAGTGTTTCTCAACCTTAGCCACTTTAAGGTGAGTGGACTTCAACTCCCAGAATTCCCCAGCCAACCCTGCTGGCTGGGGAATTCTGGGAGTTGAAGTCCATTCATCTTAAAGTTGCCAAGGTTGCGAAACAGTGCTTTAGGGTCACTGCTCTAAGCAGAAAGCTCCATCAGTCCTGCTTGTCTTCTTCTGCTAGAGGTGACCAAACAAACTAATGATTGATTTACCATTAACATCTGAACCAGGACTCCTAAATTGTTCTTCCTTTAACAAGTTAGAAGCCAGGAAATTTTATTTGGTTTCTGATCATGGTATATTGCAGAGGAACAAGCCAGGGATCTCAGCTGGGATGTAATGCTGAACAAACCACAGATGGAAGTTACCTGGCTCATTTAACTGATCTCACTAGTGGCAGGAACCAACCAGAAGCTACTGATGCATGTTTCCTTGGGTCTAGTAACTCCAGCATCTTCCCTCTAAATAAGCTCAGTTGAAACTGACCAGAGTGGGCTATAACAGTTCCTCCATATGTGCTGCTTCTTTCACTCACAGAAAATTTTACCCAGTCTAGATCACATTAGCCCAAATTAGAAAGACAGACAGGTCATGGCCTATTACAAGAGTAAGCCAGAGGCTCCTATGGGCTCTTCCATGCATGCACTAGAGGAAGACACTGAGATATGGTTTGGTTTTTGAACTGGACACATTTCTCAGTTTCTTCTAGCTGTGGACACTCTGGTTTGAAGGGCATTAAGGACATCTTAGGGTCAGACCACAGCTCCCTAAGATCAGACTTAATGGGGAAGCAGGCTTTGCCTGGGATCAACATGTGATTACTGGCATCTCCAGATAAAACTGGAATGATCTTTTGACTCAAAATGCCTGGCAGTCTTTGTAAACCTAGACTAGATAGAGCAGTGGTTTGAGTTGGGGTAAGAGAGATTGTTATGTTCCTTTCCACCTTTATACACATAGGGGAAGATGTGTCCTGCAGACCTTTTTCTGACATCCGTTTGTCACGGCCTCTCAACTATGAGTGGAAATCTCCAGGAGGGAATTTAAAGAGCTGATAACATCAGAGAATTCCAGCAGGGGAAATTCATCCCAAGCTGTTAAAAAGCAAGGGGATTCAAAAATGTATCAGTGAGCCAGAACTCCTGAGCTGTATTTTGGGGTATGCTTTCTAGTCCAGATTCTGAAATTGGGTCAGGGAGAGGATTCGTGCATTGCAGTAAGTTATAATGGGCCTTGTTCAATGTGGGCTCAGTTCAAAGATTAAACTTGGCCATTGCAGCTAGTAAGCTGATTTGTGATTATGTTGGGGAACCATGTTCGTAAGAGTTGCATGAGAGCCAGTTTGATGTGATGGTTAAAGGCACCAGGCTAGAAACTGGGGGACCGTGAGTTCTGGTCCCACGTTTGACACAAAGCCAGAAGGGTGGCCTTGGGCCAGTCCCTCTCGCTCAGCCCTAGGAAGGAAGCAAGGATAAACCACTTATGAAATCTTGCCAAGATTTGCAGGGACTAGTCCAGGCAGTTCCCAGGAGTCAACGGTGATTCAAAGGCACCAAAATGGATGGATGGATGGATGGATGGATGGATGGATGGATGGATGGATGGATGGA